TCCTGAGGTCTTCCACATTATACATAAAATTGCTTCCATACTGTTCTGCATAACAACTATCTTGGTTCTCGCCACCCTCAATTGCCTAGTTAAACATGAGATCCCTCTTGATCTCGGCTCTTGTCTTACTTACAATGACACGGTCACAGCCCTCCACATCCCCAACCTATAATTTCACAAACATGATTCAACTGTCAGGCCTTATATTCCTCATGCTTTCCACTCTCTCCAGCCAGATCCCCAGGCCAAAGACAAATACTACTTACATTCTTCATTCTTGTTTTTTTTGGTCTTTTTCATTTTTATCGGTACCAGGGATCGAACTCACAACCGCACACTTGCAAGGAAAGTGCTTATGCCGCTGAGCTAAATCCCCAGCCCCACTACCTACATTCTTACTTTTCTCTTTCAGACAGGGGAATGATCGCCTCCTGTAACTTCAACCCCACTCAACTCCATGCTCATTTTTCAGATTCTCTACTGTCATCTCAGACCTTATGACCAAATCTGGGATAAAGGAAAACCTAACCAAAATGGAGTAATTTGCTGATCTGACACCATCTGCTTTCTTTTTTTGCTCTTCAAATTCCTTGAGAATTTTTTTTTTAGCCCAGATATTTAATGTGACATCTGCTTTCATGAATAGGTTCTGGTTATTACTCGCCAGCACCCCAGAATGTGCCAATGACTGTGTGTCAAGCCCTACTGGGCTTGACAAGCGGGGATGTGAAACCATCTGCGTACACCAAAGAGGAAACATTTGGAAACAGTCAGATTCATTCATCTTGTCCACAACAAGTTACATGGGGGATGGTGTAAAATGGGTTAGATTCACAAAGTTGCATCACCCCCTCCAATATCCCATGGGTAAATTTTGCAACCATCATGGGTACAACCTATCTAATCCAACCCCACAAGGCAACTTCCTCACTCTACAGGTAAAACCCATAACTCCACACTCCATCATCAATATCCCAATAATACCTTTCTGACTGCCACAAATATTCCTACATCAAACTCAAGCCATTCCCAAACTTCTGTCACAAGCATCTACTACCCTATCGTACTTCACAAATCTTAGAGAATGCTGGCTTTGCATTCTATACAAAAAAAATGTTTATATTGCTGCCCCCACATACTGGAATGCCTCTGACCTATCTCAGCTACATAATCCAGCCATAGTGGGACTTCTCTATTATCCTCCTGACTGGCCAACTAACCTCACCTGCCTTGTATCTTTGTTTCAAAATTCTTCTCTCCAAATGGGCGACCTTCCCCACTCCACTCACATTACCTCTAACCAGAACATAGCCCTTGTGCGCAACCCAGGTCTGGTTTACAGGTTACCAAACAGGGGCCTATACTTGTCGTCCTCCCCAATGGAGAGGGTCTTGTACCCTAATCCTTTTAGTTCCAGCCCTACCAGTAAAATCTCCAGGAGGCCATGGATACCTCTTTCCTATCCCAACTCCACAATATACACTTCACCCCAGGAAACAAGCACCATCCACATTCCAGTTCTTGTTGGTGCAGGTATTTTCTCTGTACTGGGCGCTGGCCTTGGGGCTGGGGTAATAGGCGTGGCAGCCCATTTTTATCATCAACTCTCCCTGGAGCTTCAGCAACAGATAGAAGACATAACCATCTCCATCCACTCACTCCAGAACCAAATCAATAGCCTTGCAGCAGTTACTCTCCAGAACCAATAAACTCTAGATGCTCCTGCAGTAAAAGAGAGAGGTACCTAACATACATACGTACATAAATGTCTTGCTAGGTAGTTCAGGCAAGACTTGAACTCAGTGTGAAGCCCAAGCTTGCTTCAAATTCGTGAGAAGCCTCTTGCCTCAGCCCCTAAGTGCTGGTAACGTAGAGGAAAGAAACTCCCAGCCTGTTAGATGTCCTAAATACCAAGTTTCTCTTCTCTAAAATCGAGGAATGAATTCTAGGAACAATAGAGATTTAAAGTAGAATTTATTGAGAGAAAGAAAGTTTCTGTCTAAGTGGAACAATAAGGAGCCCGGAAAGTGGGTTGCCCACTGACCTGCTTCTCAAGGATGTTTACTGAGCAAAGCCACAGATGATGCAAGTTCAAGGTGGGACAGACCTATACACAATCAATAAGATTATAAATATAGTTGCTTAGGTAATATTGATCCAATGGAAAAAAATCACAGGATGGGAGTGAGATGGTATAAGACTACCAATAAGATTATCACAAGTATAGCCACTTGGGTAATACTGATTAAATGGGAATAAGAAGAGACTTTTCATGGAGGGATGGGTTAAAGAGATTTGGTCCTCTACCCAAGGTGAGAGATGTCTATTTGGAACATCAATCATGCTGTTCCTCCCTAGGGAAAGCATAGGGGTGAGTCGTTTCTCTTTTTCTTGAAGCCTGGCCTTCAGTGAATATACCTCCAGGCACAGTTGTCTTCTGTATTGACCTCTTGAGGGCCTAGCCCTGTCTGACTGCCCAAGATATTTCTAAATAACAAGGCTGTCTATAAAACTGTGATTACAGATGTTTAGCACCACTTGTAGGTAAGTAAATAAAATTTTAAAAAGACATTTTAGTGGCTAATATCTAAGAAATGTCTCAAATAGAGCCTTGTGGTATTGTCTAGAAAGCATCAGGACCCTCTCCATTGTGATGAAGCCCTCAATGCAGGCCCTTTTAAGTCTTGAACTCTAACATGGACTGCATTTGCTTAGGACCTCAGTCCTCACCACCAGCAGCCAAGAGAAGTAAGTTATAAAGTCTTTGTAGGCTTCCATCTTCCTTTAAAATCTTGGCCTTGGCCAGGGGTACAAGCGACATAGCACCCGCCTGGGAAGAGCAAAGTCCTGAGTTTGATTCCTGATATCAATCAATCAATAACATAAAATGAAATCCTGGTCATGTCTGACACCATCTGTGGAAACTGTGACTGGTTGCCAATGGCTAGACATCAAGTGGGACATGATGGCACTGGTGAATGTGATGTCCAGGGTCATCTTTTGGAATAGTCACCGTTTCTCCTTTGTACTGATCTGGATGAAGCTCCTCTAAAACATCCAGTGTATGTGGTGTGAACTTTGGTATATTCCCTTAGAGTCATTACTGCTAGGATTATTTCCAAAAGACGAAAAATATTTCCAAAAGATGAGAAATATAAAATAAAAAGCGGCTTTTATTCTGAGAACACGGAGAGAGATGACTGGCACACCCACCGCTGGCGACCGGTGATCTCTCCGGTGGACACGTGGCATGGGGGCATGTAAATAGCCTCCGTTTGGGGTGGAACCTAAGGCGGGCATTAGGGATGCACAGGTAGCCCATTGGTCGTAGGTTTGGCGCCATATGTAAATTTCCAGATGGCTTCACAGGTAACTTCCTAGGGGCAGGGGAGATAGGGGCTTCCTGCTTCCGGTTGTGGATTTCCTGGCTACAGTGTCCTATCTGGCCCAAAACCCTTTCAATTACATATGCCCACTGCCCGGCAGGGTACTTCGGGTTGAGTAGGACAGTAACATGAATTCATTACTCATGGTTATGCTTCACCAAATTCCGCCTCTAAATTCTAACCCCTTGAAGACATCTACAATAGTTTTGTAGGTAACATAACAAACATAGCAGCTTATTATGTTATCTCACAATCACATAGGTCAGGAGTCTGGGCATGGGTCAGATGGCCTCCAGCCCAGGGTCTCCTGTGGCTGTAATCAAGGTATACGGCAGGGCTAGGTTTCCTCTGGGGTTTGGGAGCCCACTTGAAAGCTCACATGGCTTAAAAAAGGGTTCATTTATTTGAAGCCTTATGACTCATGGTGAATTCCTTCTTCAAGGCACACTTTCTGTAGGACAGGGGTTCTTTGGATAGGAAAAAAGATGATGGCCTGAGGACATTTGTTAAAAGTTAATGGAGAGACTAAGGACAGCAGTCTATGCCAGGAGCAAAAAGAAAGCCAAAAGAGAAGAAACCAAGATCAGAGAGGTCCTAAATAGCGTAACTGACATAAGCTCCTCTACTTAGTACTTAGGTCTAAACCAGTTGTCCAATTTACCCCTTTCCCCATAATCCTAACCTCCACCAAACAACTGCAAAAGACCAAAAGAGATCCAAGCAGAGGACAAAAGACATCCATGGAGCCAATCTGATTCCAGGAGCCTGACACAGGAAGAAGCAGCTGCAGCCCAGAGCTCATGAGTATCTCGCTTTTGAACACTCCCCACTTGTTGAGCAGGTATCTATCATGCATGTCTCTCTTCCCTTTTCTCCATCTTCAAATAAACTAACTCCTCAGTTTAAACTCAGCTTCTTTAATTCTTTGCTGACACTGGGTTTATGATCAGCAGGAGCCGCATTTTCCAGCACAGCAGCGGCTTATAGTAAATGTTTTCCAACCTGACCTGGAACTAGAAGTGATCTCCCTGCCTCGGCCTTCCTAGCATGAGATTTACAGAGATCAAATCCCCACTATATTCCTTGGACATGTTTGTCAAAATTTAATTTTGCTTTTTCCTCCCATTTTTAGGTGTTTTTATTTTGGAGACAGGGTCTCACTATGTAGCTCAGGTTGGCCTTGAACTCCCAATGATGCTCCTGCCTCAGCCTCCTGAGTGCTGGTATGCGCCACTGTGACCAGCTGGACCCATTTTTAAAAAGTTTTTATTAATATGCTTACGATACATAATTATTCGAAAAATCGACAGGTACATGGATAAAGATGGGAATGAAAGAAGAGTGAGTATAGCTAAATAGAGTGGAAGGAAAGCCCAGGCTGCAAGGAAATAAGAGAAGTACTGCCCCAAACAGCCACATTTCACCACCAAGACTGCGCCTCCCCGCAGAGAGTAGATTATGAGAAACTGTTGATGGACTCTCGCGAGAGGAAAGACAGGCTGTGCGCAAGCGCGATCTGTCGGAGCCCCGCCTCTCCGAGTCCCACTCACTGGTCTTCCTCACTCCAACCTTGAGCCAGCCGGTGGCTCGCGTGACGTCACGACGGCGTGCGTGGACCCGGCGGCGGCGCAGGGGGCGGGCCCGCGGCGCGGCGCCGGAGGAGGAAGTGTTGTGGTTGTTGCTCTCTCAGAGCTTACCGCTTGGCTCACTGGGCGCGGGGTGGGGTTGTGGTCTCCGCCACAGCGACGCGCTGTCCTCGTCCTCCCCTCCATGTGCCCCGGCGCCGTCGCTTCTCTTCCTCAGGCCGCCGACTACTCCGGGGTCTATGGAAGTAATGGAAGGACCCCTCAACCAGGTGAGTGGCCCGTAGAGCTTTGTGTCTTCCCTGGGTGACTTCTCCTCAGAAGTTAGGTTGCGTTCCTGCTGCTCATGGACCCTTGAGAACGGGAGGCGGCTTTGACTGGACTGGGCGCATAGGCTGAGGGACGCAGGCAGGCCTTGACCCGACAGCGCCTCTGGGCACTGGGCCCCAGACTTTGCCCTCCTTGGGGATGCCCGGGAAGTTCATGCCGCCGCCTCTCTGGAAGGCCTCCGAGCGCCACGTAGCCACGTCCCTCGAGGCGGGGAGGCTCTGAGCCCGCCACGGAGAAACGGTGTGTAATACTGGTTATAAGTACAGGGGTCAGAGGCTAACCCTCCCAACCTGGGAGAGATGGAGTGATAGCCTCCTCGGCCCCATTTTTCTCTTTACCCGCTTACCGCTTACATTCAGATGCGTAAACAGGCATAAACCTGACGCATCTTGATGTTTGTTCTCAGAAAAAGTACTAATAGTTTAATACCTTAATATTTCTAGGCAATAAGAATTACTTGCAGACTGGCCACTGTAACTTCTCGTTTCCTGGAGAGTACAAAATTTGCATACGAAATTTGGATTACTTAAAAGTCGCAGGCATGAACTTTTAAATCACTGTTTTTAGTAGTTGAGGCTGAACCTTGAACTTCTGTAGCCCAGGCCAGGACGGACTTGTAGCGATCCTCCTGCCTCAGCCTCCCAAGTGCTGGGATTCTAGGCATATGTTTTCATCACAGGTTTTGCAGTTCGTTTATGTCGGTGGGATTAAAAAACTGATTAGTTCTGAAAAAGCATTGTATGGGTTCACATTGCAGAGAAGCAATAAAGCTTGGTGGTTTTAAGACTATAGATTTTGAAGCTTGATTGTTTGGATTTCAATTCTGACTAAGCCATTTAATAGCTGTGTGACCTTGGGTAAGTTACTTGACCACACTCAGTTTTGTTGTTAGGATTAAATGGGCATGAAGCTTGTAATTACCTTCACACCTTTAAACCCAGCTTTTGAGGCAAAATTGTGAATTTGAGACCAGCCTGGACTACTTAGGGGGAGATTCTGTGGCAAGATAACCAAAATAAAAGCTGGGCTTGGTGGGGCACACCTGTAATCTCAGCACTCGGGAGGCTGAGGCAAGAGGATCCTTGCGAGTTTGAGACCAGCCTAGGCTACAAATCAAAGGTCAAGGCCAGCCTTTACCGCATAGCGGGCCCTGTCTCAGACCAAAACAAAACGCAACAAAAAACCCCACTGTTCCTGATGCATCTTACAGTGTAAGAGTTAACTAGTACTGTAATTAGACCGTAAGCCTTTAATTTAAAATCTCATATATGGAGTAAGTATTTGGATCTGTTGAGCTTTTGAGAGAAGCAGCTTTAAAGTCTCATTCACCTTCAGCTGTGGTTCCAAATCAGTGGTACCAGTTTAGCTGCTCTAATGGAGCCACTCCTCACTCTGTTAAATTTGGTCCTGACCCATTTGTAAGACTACATTTGTAAGATTACCGCTTACATTCAGATGCGTAAACAGGCATAAACCTGACGCATCTTGATGTTTGTTCTCAGAAAAAGTACTAATAGTTTAATACCTTAATATATTTAGGCAATAAGAATTACTTGCAGATTTTGTGTGTGTGTGTGTGTGTGTGTTTTTCATTTTTATCAGTACCAGGGATTGAACTCAGGACCGCCTACTTGCAAGGCAGGTGCTTATGCCGCTGAGCCATTTGTAAGGTAGCCCACACTTATGGTTGGGCTACCTTAGTGAGTTTTTTTTTTCCTCCTTACTTTTAAGGTGTCAGTTTGCAGTTAAACGTGGATAGGTCAAATCTGAAACTTCATGGAAATATTAGAAATAACCAGCTATTTACAAAGTGCTTCTTGCAAAGTGACCATTGGTTCCATTCCAGTTAGCTTCACTTTTTTGGCTGCAGGCTGTAGCATAATTCTAGCCAAGTGCTTTACAAGTCTGTAGTGTCTTATGAGAAGTCTGAAAGAGCCACTGTGGTAGATGAAGCACAAAATCAGCAGTTTTTATTTGATTTGTAGCCTAGTTTATTAGAAAATAGCAATGGAACAGAGATTGATATTTATTTTCATACTGGGATTGAGCCCAGGGAGCACTATGCTATATCCTCACCCCTGTCTTGTTTGAGACAGGATCTTGCTAAATTGCCTGGGCTGGCTTTAAACTTTGTAATCTTTGTGCCTCAACCTCCCGTAATCCCTCCCATGGGATTATGGCCCTTTACCAACATGCCTAGCTAGAAGGTTGGCTCACTCTTTGATTGACTCATCATAAGAAATAGTTTACAGTACAATATAGTGCCTTTGAAAATCCCACTAGTATATACAAGTTGTATTTTCTAAAAATATAATGGAGCCCAAATTCATTGTATAAGAATTTATTACAGTCCCTAAATTTATAATCAAGTATCCTGAGAATATCCTTACAATTTAGAACTTTTTCCTACTTTTATAGGTAGATAACCCTGGACTGAGAAATTGATTACTTGGGCCATATATTTACATTATGGATCACAGCTCATTTTGAAATGACCTCTTTTTTTTTTTTTTTTTTTTTTTTTTTTGTCTTTTTTCATTTTTATCAGTACCAGGGATAGAACTCAGGACCGCCTGCTTGCAAGGCAGGCGCTTATGCCGCTGAGCTAAATCCTCAGCCCCCGAAATGACCTCTTTCTATCAGTGTTTCTGTATAAATGCTCATTCTCATTCCAATGTGTCTTTATCTATATTGAAGTATAGATTCTGTGTTAGCATTTTGTAGCTCTGCTACAGTATTTTGTTGGATTTCTAAGGACCTGTGGACTTCTCACAAGGAATTTTTAAGATATGGAAGAAACTAATTCAATACTAATTTTAATACGTGGTTAGTATGGATAATGACTTAGTCTCTAATTTTCAAGAATGGTCAAAGAAAATAAGGAATTTTACTTTCATTGAAGGAAAAGATATTTTGACTGTATAAGTTTGTTTGAGCAAGATTTTTTCTTTTTTGTCAGACCTCTCCTCCTCCAGTTTGGGATTGAACCCAGGGTCTTCACACTGAGCTACAGTCCCAGCTCCTTTTTTTTTTTTAAGTTTTAAGACAAGATCTTGCCAAGTCACTAAGTTATCTAAGCCGGACTTGAATTTGTCTCCCTCCTTACCTCAACTCCCAGAGTGCTGGGATTATAGTCTTCAACCACCATGCCTTGGCTCTTATAACTTAATATAGAAAAATTGAAATTTAGAAAATTGCTTAGTATATATTTAGGCATTTTTCCCCATGTATTTAATGGTGAGTTGGTAGGAAATGACAAGGTGAGTTGGTAGGAAATGTCAAAATTTAAGATAATTTCTAACTCTTTGGTTTGTTGGTTGACAATTTGGGAAGCAATGTCAAGTCTGAATTTATACTTGACAATTGTTTCTGCTTTGCTTATCTGTGCTGCAAAGGCCAAAGTGTGGCCTCATACCTGCCGTTTCCTCAGGAGTGCTGTGTGGCCCCAGCTTAAATAAGCCTCCCTCTGGAGAGGTCAGTTTTCCCTTCACTTGAGGTAGCTGATGAATCCTTGCTTTCAAACTACTCATCTAGTGTCATGGTCCTAGGAGTGGCCCTGTGCATACTGAAATTTTTGTTACTATATTAATTATATTGGTAGTAAAAATCTTTGAGGTAAAAGCTGGCTATTTTGTATTATTTTCTCATTTTTAAAAATCTTTCCCTGTCCTTTCCCTTCCCTCATCCCTTGTTCCCCTTCCCCTTCTCATTTCTTAATTATTGAAACATTTCAAATATCCATGATGATCACATTCATCATAGAGAATTTGTACCTGTACATGTTTTTTTGTCACTCTCCTACCAGCTCTTCAACCCCGCCTTCTCTACCCATTAGCAAAAGCTTTATTTCTGTGTTTTCCTTCTTTTTTCTTTTTTTATATTTCCCTTTTTTTCTCCCACCCCTCCCTGGTGTTCCCCTCCCCATTTGAATATTTTCTTCCCATTTCACAATACCTGTTACACATTTTTTTTTTTTTTTTTTTGTCTTTTTCATTTTTATCGGTACTGGGGATCGAACTCATGACCGCCTGCTTGCAAGGCAGGTGCTTATGCCGCTGAGCTAAACCCCCAGCCCCTACCTGTTACACATTTTTAAAATACAAGCTTCAATATTGTTTTTTTCTTTGTAAGATCCGTTTTATTTCTTTTTTTTTTTTTTTTTTTTTGTCTTTTTCATTTTTATCGGTACCAGGGATCGACCACCTGCTTGCAAGGCAGGTGCTTATGCTGCTGAGCTAAATCCCCAGCCCCTCCGTTTTATTTCAAAGAGAAAAAAACTTTAAAAATAAAACAATTTCAGAACACACCAGTCAGAGCCTATTATACATTTTGGTTCTTATTTATACTTTCAGTTTCCAACCCCAGAGAAACAATGCAGTATTTATACATATGTCTAGTTTATTTCTCTAGAGTATGGCTTCAAGGCACATCCATTTACCAAGGAATGTCTTGAGCTTCTCCTTCTTTATGGAAGAGTAGTACTCTGTTGTATAAAAAACCCTCATCTTTCTTTATTCACAGTTGATGGGCACTTGGGTTGTTTCCAAGATTTGAATGCCAGCTATTTTAAACTTAATTAGTTCGAGACGGGTCTTGCTATGCAGTTCTGGCTGGCATTGGGCTCACTTTGTAACCCAGGTTGGTCTGGAACTTGCAATGATCCTCCTGTCTCAGCCTTCCTAGTGCTGGGATGACAAGTATGCCCCACCACACTTGATTTAGTATCAGATTTTTATGCTGGTCTGATGGCTCATGCTTGTAGTCCTAGCACTCTGGGAAGCTGAGGCAAGAGAATTGCAAGTCCAAGTTCGGCCTGGGCAACTTTGCAAGACTGCATCAAAATACTGTAAAAAATAAAAAGGAACAATTGGGATTTCACCCTGTTGAAAAGGTTTTGCACAGTAAGAGAAACCACAAACATAGTGAAGAGACAACCCACAACATGGGAGAAAATGTTTGCTACCTCAGACAAAAGATTACTATCAAGAACATATAAAGAACTCAAAAAAAATCAGTCCTCCAGATTTAAAGACCCATTTCAGATGAAGAAATAAAGCAAGTAAATATATGAAAAATACTCAACATCACTGGTCATTCGAGAGGTAAAAATTAAAAGAATGCTGAGATTCTACCCCACCCCAGAAAGAATGGCTGTTATCAACAAGGCAGCCTATAACATGTTGGAGGACCTGTGGGAAAAAGGAACCCTTCTCCACTGTTGGTGGGAATGCAGACTGGTGCAACCACTGTGGAAATCAGTGTGGAGATCCCTCAAAAAACTAGGATTAGAGGTCCCATTCAACCCGCTGTTCCCCTGCTGGGTATCTTCCCAAAAGAATTAAAAACATTCCACAGTGATATATGTGCACCTGTGATTATAACTGCACAATTTGTAATAGCCAGATCTTGGAAACAGCCTAAATGTCATCAATTGAGTAGTGGAGTTTTTTAAAAAGTGTGTTTATATGATGGAGTACTACTCAGCCATAAAAAAGGATAAACTGGAGTCTTTTGGGTAAATGGATGCAACTTGAGACCATGGTCATTAGTGAAATCAGTGTGAGAACCTGAAACAACATGTATATGTATATAAAAATAGTTAAGATATACAGCTGATTTCTCTGAGTTCACTGAAGAGGAAGATTTGTGCTGGTATTTGGACAACTGAATGTAGATGTCTTGTGCTCTGGGTGAATGATTTGGGAATGACAATGCATACTGTATGTACCATTGTTGCCCCCAATTGACATATTTTGAAATTTTGTTTTAATTTTTCTTGTTTTTACTTTTTCTCCTTGTAATAAAATGGATTTGGAAAAAAATAAAAAGGGCAAAGGCTGTGGGTTCAGTCCCCAGCACCATACACATAAATCTGTTACATTTTTTAAAAATACTAGTTATGATCCACTCAGTTGATTTAACAACTCATTAGTGAGTTGCTCCTTGTAATGTGAAAGGTAGCGCACTGTCTTTTTAGGGATGAAAGAAAAAAACAAGGTAAACTGGAAGCTGTAGACAAGAAAATTGCCAGTAGAGCTACATGCAGAGGCTGACGTTCAGATTTAAAATTAAAAAGGGGGCTTCCTAGGATTTTCTGCCATTTGAGTGTTCTCTTAAGTATAATTTCACTACATTAATTAGATGCTGGATTCTGTGCTTACGGTTTGGAGGTACAGCTTGTTACTTGCCTGTGGGAGAGTTGTGAAGTGGCTGGGAAGGAATCAGTTTTCCACCCCACCGAAGGACCTTACTATGAAGTCAGGAGTGGAGTACATTTTCTGCTGCTTTCTTTTTGGTGTTGTGTTTATAAGGGTCATTCTGTCTTTAAATACAACTCTCCCCAAGGTCACAGAAATTAACAAATTGAAAGCTGTAAAATATGGTTTATATCAAATCTGTATTTATGTTTTTTTTGTTTTTGATACTGGGGATCGAACTCATGACTTCACGCTTGCCAGGTAGGTGCTTGTGCCACTGAGCTAAACCCCCGGCCCTCAATCTGTATTTTTAAAAGCAGTTAGCTTATAGAAGCAGAAGGGTATCCATCACTTAGTAGTAGCCACTTAGTAGTAGCCTGGTTGGTGTTGGCAGGGTTTCTGTTGGCTTCAGATGATGGAGCTCACTTAGATGCACTTCAGTGCAAGCCGGGAGTGAGGTGGTGCCGAGTGTGCACTGGATGGAGACCAGCTGCCCCTGCACTCAGACATGGCTTCTCTGCCTCTTTAGGCTTTGGCTGCTTCGCTTTACTCTGTAGTCCTGTTTTTCTCTTGGTAAGTCTTTGAGTATCACAACATTGAAACTTTACTCTTTCCTCCCGAGTTTGAACATTTGGAGGATGGATTCTTTAGGTGTCCAGAGAACACCAAGGCAATATAGGAAAATGGGCAGGTTCCCACAGAAATCATACAAAGAAGCACCATGCACAAAGTGGTGGGACCTTTATTGCAAATCTCATAGTATTTGTTTAGGTTGTTTTAGCCTTCTGAGGCAGGATCTCACTGCATTGCACGGTGTAGGCTTGTCTTGAACTCACTGTGTAGCCCAGGCTGATCTTGAACTTGCAGCGATCCTCCTGCCTCAGCCTACCAGGTGCTGGGATTAAAGGCGAGAGCCACCACGCTCAGCTCTATGTAGACTTAAAAAAACAAAAAAAGCATATGTGCCAAGAGGTCACCAAAGGGGGTTTATGATAGAGCGGAGCAAAGTTGCCAATAACTTTCAGATTCTGTATTTCTAGGCCTTTCTCGTTAAATAGCCCTGTTTACAGATATAGCTGCAACAATGATTTGTGTAGCAAAATCCAGTATGTCGTTTATAATGTGAAAAATTTACTTTGAAGGGGTTACCCTGAGCAGGCTGACCATCATTGAGCTGTTTTATGCCCCCACGCCCTAGCCTCCATTTCACTTTTAAAAGGTCGTATATTTTATAATTTAGAGAAACTTAGGATGTTTGTCTTTTAGGCTCATCAACAGAGCAGACGAGCAGACCGATTATTAGCTGCAGGAAAATACGAAGAGGCTATTTCTTGTCACAAAAAGGCTGCAGGTGAGTTTTTTTTTTTTTTTTTTTTGGTAATGAAATATCGATTGTGAAACTGAAGAGTAACTTCTTTTCCTCAGTATCTCTCACACTTCGAGTAAGTCTCAACAAGCCATGCATAGTGGCACACACTTGGCAGTCCCAGGACTCTGGAAGGCTGAGGTGGCAGCATGGCAAGTTCAAGTCTAGTGTGGCCAGTTTAGTGATTCATTGAGACCCTATCTCTTTTTTTTTTTTTTTTTTTTTATTTTGAAGGTAGTAAAACAGAATAAGACAGAACAAAGCCAATTAAGACAGTGTAGTGAAATTGGTACAGAACTTTACAGCAGGTTACTGGGATAACAGTAATAGGTATCACAGTGTATCCTGGTATCTTCACAATAGTTGTTCTTTCAATCATGTATAGCAAAATAAAATGAAATACAGAACATTATAGAACTTAACAGAACAGGATATTGAATAGTTGAATAGAGCAGTACCATTAATCAGAATAAATCAGAAAAGTAGTAAAAATATTTGCCTTCAAAGAGATGGTAGAAGAAAATCCCTCTGATTTGCTATATTGCATCTGTTCAACCTCCCAAGAGATGCTCAGATCTCTGGTTCCCATTTGCTAATGGGGGGCAGGGGAAGTGGGATGTTTGACCTTCAGCTCGTGCACAGGTAGGCTTACTATGGCTTAAGAGGGAGGCGAGCTGGTTGCTTGGTTTCCCAGCACCCTAAGTTCCAACATGGCTGCTTGGTTTTTCCAGCATCCTAAGTTCCAACGTGGCGTGGATCTCAGGAGACACTGGTGGTTCTTCCCTTGGAGGGGCCGCAGCCTGCCACACCACAGCCACTTACCAGGGAGGTGAGCTGGTTGCTTGGTTTCCTAGCATCCTAAGTTCCAACATGACGTGGACTCAGGAGACGCTGGTGGTTCTCCCCCTGGAGGGGGAGACCCTATCTCAAAAAGGTAGTAGTAGGGGCTAGGAATGTAGCTCTGTGGTGTAAGACCCTGGATTTAATACTTAGCACCTAAATAAGTAAATTAAGAAAAAGATACCGAGGGTATAGCTCAGTGGCATAGTGCTTGCCTGGCAAGTGCAAGGTTGTCAGTTCCATTCCCAGTACCAAAAGGGAAAAAAAAGGAAGAAAGAAAAATTGTTTATTGACGACCCAATTTCTCATTTTATTTTAGTCAAGCAGCTTTGCATATTTAAACTCAGAAACATGTATTGGGGCCTGTTTTGCACTGACCAATTTCTGTTACTGAGTCACAATCCTAAAAGCTTTGCGGGGTGGGAGTTTCCTCGAAGGCCCCCAGAGTGAGTGTAGTCACCATCCTTAGAGCACACCCTGTGTCTCTTGCCAGGAGGTCCTTCCTTTCCCTCTGTGGAAGTCACCTTTTTTCCCTTCTGTGTCTGCCCCTCCCTTATTATTTTACTTTGAGACTTAGATTACACAATGGCCCTCATTAGGATAAATCTTCATGATTTTTGTTTATAATCAGTAATTTGGACCAGGGATATAGCTCAGCAGCACAGCACCTGCCTGGCAAGTGTGAGGTTTTGAGTTTGATTTGTGGTACAAAAAAAGTTTGATTTCTGGTACAAAAAAAAGTAATTTTCAAGATAATACTGTTTTTAAGAGATTAGTTTTGAATTGTAACTCTTCTATTGATAGGTAGTCCATAAATCTTTATGTATTTTTATGGTGAATTTGATAAGGACCTTGCCTAACATCTTTGCCAACTCATGCTCTTTGGTACTGGGGATTGAACTCATGACCTTGCCCTTGGCAAGCAGGTACTTGTGTCACTGAGCTAAATCCCCAGCCCAGGTGAACATTTGATAGTTTTTTTGATACCGGGGATCGAACTCATGACCTCGCTCTTACCAGGCAGGTGCTTATGCCATGGAGCTAAATCCCTGGCATAACTCATGCTCTTTAAATATTTCCTAAATGGTATTATGTTTTCACACTGTTGAATCTATAGTCACTATAGAGACAGTCCTTTGTGTGTGAATGTAAGAATTCTATGTTCTAGATGCATGCCACAGTTGTAGAGTACAGAATGGTCTTGATTTTACACATATAACATATGTTAAAATGGAGCAAATCAACATGTATTGTATAATGAGGTGCAGGAAGTTCTGAATAGTAAAAGGGAGGAAAGTTTTATTCTTAATCTGATCTTTATCATTAAAGATTTTTTTTTTTTTTTGATAGGGTCTCTATGCAGTTCTGGCTGACCTAGAGCTCACTTTGTAGCCCAGGCTGGCCTTGAACTCACAACAATCATCCCTCATCCTGAGTGCTGGGATTACAGGCATGAGCCACGCCCTGCTTAAAGATTTTTTTTTTTTTACTTTTGAATTTAAAATACCACTCACCCCCACAACTCACAGGTCCACATTCTGCCTGTTAGATTACATTAGCTTTAATTATGGAAATAGAACTTAATGTGATTAAGTAAACACTACTGAGCTGATTTGGAGTTTAAGACTTAAAAATAGCTTTGTGTTGTATTCAGGAGTGGAGTTGCAAATTGAGTGGTGGAATGAATTCACTGTTTGCTAAGTTTACTTGCCTCAAGGGTTTGTAATAGGTGTAGATGTATGGTGTATGGAAGGAAGCCACACGGAAAATCCCTTTAGGGATGTTGCAGGGAAAAGTTAACATCTGAGGACTCACAGGAAGGAAAGTCTAAAATGAGAGAATTTAAGGAAACAAAGCGAGCCTCTGTGTCCACCTGTTAAAGAGCAGTGAAAATGAAACCTCAGGAGCTGGCCTTTACTCTGCATTGCAATCAATGTCTTGTATTTTGAGTTCACGCCAGAATTGCCTGTTAAGCTCTGCCTGCCATGTTTTAAGTTCTCTGTACCCTACTTTTTCAAACTTGGCTAGGTTGTGCCTGCAAACCAACTCCAAAGACTTCTGATGTACATTGTCAGGTATAGCTACACATGGTAGCAACTCCACAGTACCTTTTTTTGGTGTTGTTTTTTTGTTTCCATGATAGCATAGGTGATACTAGCTTAAAAAGGAAGAAAAAATTATTTTGATTCACGATTTTTAAAGTTCAGTCCATGGTCACTTGGTCCTGTCACTGTGGGGCTATGCCAAGGTGGAAACCCCTGATGGGAGAGCAGAGCTACTTCCCTCCTGTCAGTGCACCAGGGCCAGCATCCCCTTCAAGGGGCTGACCCCAGGAACCCGGATTTCTTTCATTGGCCTCACCTAAAGTTGCTACTGTCTCCCTGTATGCTGTTAGCCAGAGGCCAAGCCTTCAGCACATGGGCCTTTGTGGGGCAATTCAGAATCCAGATCGAACAGCTCTCCTAGCAGTCAGCCTGAAGAGAAAAAGAAATACTTTTTACATTGACAGTTTTTATTGAGACAAACCAAGTTATCAGAATTGAACGTTTTTATATATAAAATACTGTCCTTAGTAACTTCCTTATAGTAAATATATCTGCATATTCTGAGGACTTTTAGTTACTCTATTTTTGTTTTTTGAGACAGGGTCTCAGTAGTTTAGACTGGCTTTGTAGTTCTCAATAGTTCAGACTGGATGTTAGGTTTGTGAGACAAGGTCTCAGTAGTTCATACTGGCTTTGAATTCACTATGTAGCCCAGGCTGGCCTCAAACTCATGGTGATCCTCCTGCCTCAGCCTCCTGAGTGCTGGAATTACAGACGTGTATCACTGTGCTTGGATAGTTACTATATTTGTAGTAAGCTGGTGGTATATCCCAGAAACAATTTGATAAATTTAGTTTTTAATGGAGGCCAGAAGGATACAGTTCAGATGTTTGAGTGTATAGAAAGTCACTTATAATATCATGTTTTCTGAGCATAGCGAAATAAGATTTCCATAATTTTTATTTAATTCTAACTTCGCCTGAACCTGTTTTTCCAATTAGATCATCTTCATTTAGTTCCTAGGAATTTGTTGGGGTTTCTTTCTTTGAGACAGGATCTCGCTGTGCAGCTCAGGCTGTCTTTGAGCTTACTTTGTAGCCCATGCTGGTCTTGAACTGCTAGAACTGCCAGTGCTCCTCATGCCTCAACCTCCCAAGTGCAGGCATTACAGGCTTGTTGGGTTTTCTTTTAAGGGTTTGGGATGATCTCGGTTCGCTCGTGTTAAGCACCTGCTGCTCTCTGCCATTGGGCAGCAACCCTAGGCTTCCTGGAAGGGTTTCAGAGCAACGTCACGGTTCAAGACGGGCTAGGGAATACATAATTTGACTACCACTGATATCTTGGAGAACCTTACTTTTTTAAAACAAGTTCCAGTTACAGTGTAATTGCTGATAATGCCAATTCTCTGTGTGTAGTATTAGCACTCTTCCTTTACTCTTATGGTTACACAATGCTGACACTCATGTGCTCATGTGCCTCTTTCCTTACCAGCATGTCTTTGTGAAGCCATGAAGCTGACACAGTCTGAGCAGGTGAGATATACTCTTCATATTTGTAGCAAAAGCTCTTAGATCCTTGAATTATATTGTAAAACAAAAACATTATATTCCTCTTAAAAACAGCTTTATGAAAAATACATAAAGTCAGGCCAGGTGTGGTCGTGCACACTTGTAATCCCAGCACGCGGGAGGTTGAGGCAGGAGGAGCCTGGGCTGTAAAGTGAGCTCAAGGCCATCTTGAACTGCATAGTGAGACCCTGTCTCAACAAGACTCCCCACCTCCCATTTTGTTTTGTATATTTGTTTATCAGTGATGCCCACCTGCAATCCAACTACTTGCACTGAGGAAAGGAAATTGTGAATTTGAGACCAGCCTGGGCACCATGGTAAGGCCTGTCTTAAAATCAGCAAAAACAAGAGTGAAGAATAGAAAGTTGGCTAGAGCAGAGTGCTTTAGCAAGGAAATGAAAAGTGGTGTTCATGTCCCAGGTGTGGCGTGCAGAAGCTGCTGTCCTGTTGCACTTGTTCTTCCCAGAGCGCAGATCCCAGGTGCTGTCTGTACCTTAAAGACCCCACTTACCACCTTCCTATTATCAGCTCATACCTGACCCATGTTTAGCTCATGTAAATACGCTGTCCTGGGGAATCCATTTGGATTGTCCCTTGTTTATCAAGGTAATGTAAATGTAAACAGTGTCCCACTTGTCTCTTGAATTCCTATCCTTAATTTGTTTCACCAGGTGTGGTGGCACACACCTATAATCCCAAGACTCCAGGAGGCTGAGGGCAGGAAGGTTGCAAGTTCAAGTGCAGTCTTGGCAATTTAGCAAGATCCTGTCTTAAAATAAAAGGGACTGGTGATATAGGTCAGTGCAGGCCCCTGGTTTCAATTCTCAACACTGACCCCCCCCCACCCCCAATTTTTTTTTTAAACTATGGACTTGAAGTAAATGTCTTCTGTGTTTGCAGAGAGCTTGGCTCACCTCAGCCTTCCAGGAGTGCTGGGATTACAGGACATTCTTTTTGTTGTTTTCAGTGGTGAGACTTGAATCCATGGCTTTGTGATACATGGTAAACAAATACTACCACTGAATTACATTCCCAAACCTAAAGATGATTTCTTAATTGCAAAATGCTGGTTCTGTTTCTCCAACTGAACTGAGATAATTTCTTCAAGGGACGTCAGTGACAAGCCAAAAAACTACATAGTCTTCATAGTGAACTCTGGATCTTTAAATTGTGTCTTCTTTAGTATGGAACAGTGAGGGTGAGCCTGTGGCACGAGTGCTGTAGCGGGCTGTTTGTCATTATTGAAAACTCAAGCTGTTCACCAGCACTGGTATAGAACTTGCTTATAAGACAACTACGTTGTACCCGTGTGCATTGAGCCTCCTAAACATCCCGCTGGGTGTTCTGACCTGTTGAGTAATACGTGTGAAGGGAAGATTTCTAGTGTTTAGCAGAGGTTAGAGGCACATTCAGGAAAAGTCTGATCTAGTTTGTTTTGGGGAGTAGGACTTCTGACTTTTTGAATGAATATTACCTTGTCCTTTCTCTAGTTTATCTAGAAATACCTCATTATTTTGAAATGTTGTTTCTGTTGAGTTGCAAATATACTGTAAATATTTGAAGTGTTGATTATTCAGGAGGGAGGCTCTTGGAGTAGCACTGAACATTGCTGAAGAGACTTGTGTGTTAATTCTGAGAACTGCCCTTTCTTTCTGTTAATAGGCGCGCTTGTCCCTGGAATTGCAGAGGGACAGCCACATGAAACAGCTTCTCCTCATCCAGGAGCGGTGGAAGAGGGCAAAGCGTGAGGAGCGGCTGAAGGCCCCGCAGAACACAGACAGGGATGCCCACCTCCAGGCCTCTCCCAGGCCCTTTGCAGAGGATGCCGAACACCAGAGCCCCATTCTCGCGCAGAAGCACAGCCCTTGCACAGAGAAGCGCCTCCCTGAAGTCCAGGGGATTTTCGACAGGGATCCCGACACACTGCTATATTTACTTCAGCAAAAGAGTGAGCCGGCAGAGCCATGTATTGGAAGCAAAGCCCCAAAAGATGACAAAACAATTATAGAGGAGCAGGCAACCAAAATTGCAGATTTGAAGAGACATGTGGAGTTTCTTGTTGCTGAGAATGAAAGATTAAGGAAAGAAAATAAACAGCTAAGGGCTGAAAAGGCCAGACTTATAAAAGGTTCCCTAGAAAAGGAGCTGGATGTGGATGCTGATTTTGTAGAAAAGTCAGAGCTGTGGAGCTTGTCACCACATTCAGAAAATGCTGCAGCCTCTTCCACCTGGCAGAAATTCGCAGCGAATACTGGAAAAGCCAAGGACATTCCGATACCCAACCTTCCTCCCTTAGATTTTCCGTCTCCAGAACTTCCGCTGATGGAGCTCTCTGAGGACATTCTGAAAGGATTTATGAGTAATTAAAATGGAAGGTTAGCAGAGAGGTCACGGAGGAAATAATTCAGTAACAGTTGATCAGAAGAGAAAAAAAAAGGGAAAACCACCAGCAAGGGCAGCCTTGGAATTGTCTTTGCAATGCCTGGCTCTGCGGGAGTGGCCTGGCCCGACTTGGAACAGTCCCTGTGAAGCGGGTGGGGATCCTGATTCCCAGCACAGTAAAGATTCCGACCTGGTGGAGGCCACTAGGAGGTTGGCTTTCTCTTGATGCAAACCAAATGGCTACCTGGAATATTTTCAAGCAACAATTCATTTTTTGAATTTTCAGGGTTTAAATGTATAGAAGTATGTTATATGTAATCTATAACGCCATAAATGATAATGCAAAGCCTAAATAATCTGGTGGCCTGAGCAGCTGCCTCATATTTGAAACGTGCTCTTTATCATGCATTGACTGTATGCATCTTGTTATGCACATTTTGTTTAAAGGAGGTATGCAAGCTGCACACCCTTCTAGATGAAACTCCATGTGCCACACTTGCACTACTCATAACATAATGATAACCTCAAGACTATCAGGAGAAATATTTAAATTTCCATTTTATGAGAAAAGGAACCAAATTAGTAGTTATGCTTTTTTAAAGAATTACCAGTTTACATAATTAATCAGGGTGCATTTTAAGTTCTGTTCGTTACACAGTGCATCATTTGAAAATGCCGAGGGAGCATCTTTTGTTTTTAATGATGCGTGAGTAGAAGTAATGCTAGTTAGCAGTATTTGATTGTAAGAAATCAATAAAGTCATTGTGTTTTATGCCTTTGTTGAATGTGTTTGATAGTTAAAAGCAAGTTAATGACTTAGTGCTGTAAACTTGGAATAGGCATTGAAAAGATGCCACTGAATGATTGTGTTACAGATTTGGTCTTTCATTGTTTTGCAGTCTTTTCCCCCTTTTAAGGAAGGTGAAAGAGTATAGAAGTTCTGAGGTTATTGGTCCCAGGTTTTTGGCTAAGAGCCAGTCTAAAAGTTCCCGAGGAAAGTTCCCGAGGTTTAAACCATTTGGGAGGCCTCCACCATGGGAAAATGGTCAGGCTGGTGCTGTTCCTGGACCACCGCTAGGGGCCGGAGTCTCCGTACTCTTCTCTAAGCGGAGCCCTGGCGAGCTCCCAGGGCAGCCCCGGTCACTTCTAGAGCCTCTAGGAGAGGGCCCGGCCCCTGTGTATGGCAGCGGGCCTGGTGGAGCTAGGAAAAGTTGATGAGACCACACGTAAGTCATACTCCTGTCTCATCTTTCTGCAGATGAAACAGACTGGCCTCTTCAGAGGATTCTAGATTGCTTTAAGTTATATTGTTTAATTTGTTGCTCTCAGTTTATCAGGACATTCCACTTGACAAATGTTCATAAAACTTAAGATTTAAAAGTCTGTCCAAAACAGGCAATCTTGTTGGCCTGTTTCTCTTTTAAAATCAGCTGTGCCAGGGCTGGGGGTTTAGCTCAGCGGCATAAGCGCCTGACTTGCAAGCAGGCAGTCGTGAGTTCGATCCCTGGTACCGATAAAAAGGAAAAAGACCGAAAAAAAAAAAAAATCAGCTGTGCCACCTGGTCCGGGAAGTGTGAGGTCATGAATTCCATCCCTGGCACCACAAACATGAATAAAATCAGCTGTGTAGGCTGGGCACATGGTAATGGTTGCCTAACATACCAAGATCTTGGTTCTCTTCCCAGCACTCAAAACCTCCAAACTATTGTTTGAATATCATCCTGCCACTACTTCCTCCTTTTCTACCCTTTTCTCATGTTAGTTAGCAATTAGATGTGCAGTTTTTAGACCTTTTCTGTGTGTTCTCATTCTGTTGTCTAAAGCTCTTGTATATAACAAATCGGGTTTTAAAGTTGTATGTGCAAGATTGCATGGTGTGGAGAGACGTGGTGCTGCTATATAGCTGAGGTTGCCCTCACCTGTGGCAGTCTTTCTGCTTCAGCTTTGCAGGTGCTGAGATTACAGGTCTTATGCCACTACACCTGGCCCTAGACAATAGGTGTTTTGACCAGGACTGCAAAGTATTTTGCTAGGATGCTAGAGCAAATGTTTAACCTACCTGTTTTTATTCATTCTAAGGGTCTCCCTTGTAGGTACATTGCCTTTCCTCTGGCAGGCATTTCAAGGTGTTTGTTCTTCTGCCTCTGATTGCTTCTTTTCCTTTCTCCTCCTTCCTTCTCCTGCTCCTCCTCCTTTCTAGCCTGAGGCATTGAAATGGATATAAGAATACTTTGGGCTGGGCATGGTGAGGTGCACCTGTAATCCCAAGTACCCAGGAAGTTGATGCAAGAGGATTGCTTTTGAGTTTGAGGCCCAGGCTGTGAGTCTGAGGCCAGCCTGTGTTAAACCTTCCTCCTTACCCCTTCCCTCACCCCACAACGCTCACTTTTGCAGATGTGTCTCCCTTAGATCTTGTGTTGGCTTCTTGCTTTTAAGTCCAGAGAACCAGTTGGGAGTTAAATCTATGGCCATACCACCCTGAGCGTGCTGATCTCAACTAAGCAGGGTGGGGCTTGGTTAGTACTTGTCAGGGAGACCACCTGTGATACCTAGCGCTGTGCACTCTGGTCTCCCTCCCCTCCTCTCCATGGTGGGCATGGTGGCACATGCCTGCAATCCCAGCACTAGAGGCTGAGGCGGGAGGATCCACTTGAGTTCAAGGTCAGCCTGAATATATAGCAAAACCATGTCTCAAAGAATCAAACAAGAACAAAAGAGCCTACAGAGTTTTGGCTTGGAATAACTCCCGAACAAGCATTTCTTTCAAAAAGTAGGCAATATGTAGTAACTGTTACATGTATTGCCATGGTAATCACATATAATCCATGCTATCTGGAAGTCTTTAAAAGGAAATTTTTCAAAATAATTAGCTCCTTCAAAATGTGTCTCCCTAGTGTTTCATCAAGTTCGTTGAAATAAATATTTTGTTTCCAAAGTCAACTTGACATTAAAAACATTGTCTGCTTTTGAACGTTTTGTCCTATTTTATTTATTTTGGTACCAGGGATTGAACTCATGACCTTGTATTTGCTAGTCCAGCACTTAAATGCTGCTGAGCTAAATCTCCAGCCCCCTGTTCCTTTTTTTTTTTTTTTTTTAAATGTCATTAATTTTTAGTCCTTCAAGCTCCGTGATGTTACATATGAACATGCTGGGGCCCAGGAAGTTCCCAAGTTCTGTGAAGTGTACTGAGTTAACAGCAGTCATGAGAACAAAGAAAAACTCAGATCCTTTGGTTCCTAAATGTGAGCTAGGTGTTGAGCACACAGGACTGTGGCACGCCTCCCTTAGTTCTTGTTAAGATGTTGGTTTGTCTGATGTGAAAAAACAAACGGGCTGACCAGCTAGACTGGCTATATTGGCTGGGACATAGTAATAGAATTAAACTGTAAGACACTCAGTTTCAACCAAAAAATTGATGTGGGAAAGCTCAGTGTTAAGAGTTTTCCTTTATTCAGAGATCAGCTGGTGAAAGTTTGTTCTTAAGACTTCATAGTAAGAAGCCTTATGTTCCGGTTTTTTATGGTGATGCTTCTCACTTTGGGCGTTGTGACTAAATTTTTTTTTTTAATTAAGAGGAATACTAGCTTGAAGTTTGCCATGGGGTTGCTTAGAACCTGACTGCCGAGTCAAGATGTGAATTGCAGTAATAGCAACTGTTGAATCATAGTAGGTTGGAGATCAAGTGATCGTTAGTATTATATTTTGTCATAATCTCCGTGTAACTTAGTTCTGTGAGTGGCTTGGGTTTCTTTCCCTTTCTTACATGTGTCCTCAGATGTACTTCCAGCTGCAAGCTTTTGCTTTTAGTTACTGCCTGCCAACAGTGACACCTAGTGGACAGTGAGGAACAGCTCTGGTTCTTGGGTCATTTGCCCAGCTAGGCTGAATGTTCCATGTGAAATCTTGGTCTGAGTTCTTAGTTGGCTTGTCTAGTCTAGAACAAATATGGAAATGCAATTTAAAGTGTTGGATGGGCATGATGGCTTACACCTGTAATCCCAGCGCTCGGGAAGTTGAGGCAGGAGGATCGTTTGAGACCAGCCTGGCCTACAAAGTGAGCTCAAGGTCTGCCCGAAATGCATAGAGACCCCGTCTCAAAAAGACAACAACAAAAGAAAGTGTGTTAAAGATCTGGGTCAAGTTTATGCAGGCTGGGACTACATATTTTTCACTTCCTGTCTGACCTTTCTAGTTTTGCTTTGTGGCTTTAATCTCAAGACTGACCTGTGAGCTGACAGCCTTCCACCTTGCTGGACTTCAGGTTGAAAGCTATCAAGAGTTGGTCTAACTAATGAGAGGGATTTGCTCATATTCTGGACAACCTGGCAGTCAAAGCAGGCCTAAGCAATATCCCAATTTCTTTTTTGTTGTTTTTTTTGTGGTACCAGGGATTGAACTCATGACCTTGTGCTTGCCAGGCAGGCTCTTATGCCACTAATCTAAATCCCTGGTCCAATATCCTAATTTCTTAACAATCAACTTGATGTTTGTTTGGATTTTCTGGGAAGGGAGTTTGGTGGACTGCAGAACGGTAACAAAAAATCCTTATTTCACTCATACATACATAGAGTCATATATAGGCAAAGTAACCCCCCAATTTAAGCCCGTATAACCCAAATACAGGCACCAAATATTTAATGAACACCTATTAGTGATCATTATTTTGCCTTCTACTGGAATTATAAGGGTAATTGTAGGCTTTGTAGAAAAGTAGTAGGGATTAGAGGATGGGAAAATGGCTGTCTAGGTGGAGACAAGCCTGGACAAGAGAATGGAATGAGGAATGAAGCAGGCTGGGGATGAGTTACAGTGGTAAGAGTGCTCGGCTAGCATACATGAGGCTCTGGGTTCAGTCCCCAGCACTGCCAAAACAAGCCAAGGAAGCTAAGCAAAATAGACTGATTGGGACACAAGGTAAGAGAAAAAGGAGACAAAATTATCCTATCACCCCAGTTCTGGGGATCTACCCCAGGCCTAATCTACCAAGTACTCCACCTCTGAACTACATCCCCGCCCTTAATCTACCCAAAGTTTCATTCATCTGCAGTTCTAGCTTTTGGCTCAAAGAAAGGAAACGTGTTAAAAACTAGGACAAGCCTGTTAGCACCCCAGGAAGCTGAGGCAGGAGGATCCTAAGTTTGTGTGGAAAACTGCAATTCAGCACAACTGTCTCAAATAGGCTGGGGATATAGCTCAGGGTAAGTTCCTGAACTCATAATACTGAAAACTAGGAACACAGCACTTCATTCTGTTGATTTGACTGAATTGACAGTTTTTCAACTGACTTGAAAAATTCACTGTCAACCACTGGAAAGGTGTGAGTGGAACCAACCTCTAAATAAACTTAAGCGCTAACACAGGTTATATGCATGAAAGCAGACCGGTGGACCAACATATCCCTGTGTTGTTTCTCAAAACGTTCAGTGACTAGCAGCGAACAGTCTTCCACGATTATGTAATTTTGGGAATGCAACTGACACAGAACATGTGTCACTGTAGGCAGGTGCTCTAACACTGAGCTATATCCCTAGCAACTCACTGGACTTTTATTTTTTTGTCTTTTTGAGACAAGGTCTCTATGCAGTTCAGGCTGGCCTTGAACTCACTGTATAGCCCAGGCTGGTCTCCAACTAGCAAAGATCCTCCTGCCTCAGCCTCCCAAGTGCTGGGATTACAGGCCACCACGCCTGGCATTCACTGGACTTTTAAATGGACTTTTAAACTGAACTACTCTATTTCCCACTAGTTGGAATGTGGGAAATGACTGAA